CCTTCCCCTCCCCAGCAGACTTCCTTCTAACCTTATTGGCCAGAATTAATTAATTTATGCTTTTGTATAAACAGTGGCAAGGGGAAGGGAACTGAAATTGTTGGATTAGACAAAATAATTGTCTCTACTGAGGGTAGGTCTGTGCTTCTCTGAATCACAGGAGGAGGAGCAAATACTTAAAAAGGGGTGTGGGGTGTGTGTGTGTGTGTGTGTGTGTGTGTGTGTTGCCAGCAAGGTAGAGGGGAGAAAACAACTAATGGCATCTGTTGCAGGGTACCACATTTGTCTACCTAACATCATACATACCCTTCTTACATGCATATACTGAAAGTGCTGGTGTTGGTAGAAATACTCAATTCGTGCTCAGAGGGGTATATACATATAACCCAGAGGTTTATCCACATGTTGCACTCAGCCACTCATATAGTATGTATGTAGTATATAGCCTTGTCCGTCAGATTCATATATGCCTCTTCACGGTCCAGCAGTGTGTGGCTAAGGGAGAAATTGTCGGTGCCCGACACACCCAGTATTTAGTGATGAAGAAGAAATAGGATGAGTGCTGTATAAACTCCCATTCAGAAGGGCGACTTGAAAGCAGCCTTCAGTACTCATGTGCTGTAGCACATAGAGTAAGGAGAACTGTTACTGATTACTTCATACATGCAATGCATTGATGTCCCATTGGTCTCTGCAGCCCTCCTGCCTTTTGCTTTCTAATTATTCCTATTCTAGACATTCTGCTTTAAGGACAGGGGAGGAGTTTCTGTGCTTTGTACAAAGGAAACCCATAGATTACTAGGAAAGTGAGAAAAATTATTTAGCCAGGAATAAAAATGCAGTAAAATCAGGGGCGCCTGGGTGGCTCATTTGGTTAACTGTCTGAATTCGACTAAGGTCATAATCTTGCCTTTCATGGGTTCAAGCCCTGCGTCGGGCTCTGTGCTAACAGCTCAAAGCCTGAAGCCTGCTTCAGATTCTGCGTCTGCCTCTCTCTCTGCCCCTCCCCTACTCATGCTCTGTCTCTTTCTCTCACAAAATGGATAAACATTTTAAAAAATGTAGTAAAATCATTGATGCCAAAAATTACCATTAATGACAAAGGAACATGGTGTAAATGTGCCTATAGGTAGTTACTTGTATCTTTTAGCTATTGGTCTCCATATTCGTATATATTTGTGTGTGTTTTTTTCTGAGCTGTTACACTAGAGCGTGCAAACTTTAAATATTTTTTGCGTGTGTTTGTTTTGAGATACATCCTAGAGCTTCAGCCCAGCCCAGACCCCATAATTTTATGCCATTGTAAATGCAGGACTTGAAAGAGATTGGCAAATTCTAGGAGTTGACGGAAGACCCGCGTGCCTGAGCATGGTGGAGGACAGGTGCTATAAGTTGATGTTGGAGAGGTACAGAGATTCCAAATCCTGCTGGCAGTAGGCATGGTGAAGGAGGTTGGAGTTTATTCCGAGTGCATATGGAGCCATTAATTGGTTTTAAGCAGGGGAGTGAACAGGATCAGATTTATGTTTATAAGATAACTCTGGCTCCTGTATGGGAAAGAGATTGGAGGGGCCAAGAACAGAAATAGGGAGGTCAGTGTGGAGATTCCTATCTCAGAAGTAGCATGCCATGATGGGCCCAGGTAATAGCAGGTGAGCTGGAGAAAAATGGGAAAAACTTGAGATCTATTTTGGAGAGTGAGCCAAAAGACTTGGGGAGACAGGTTTGAAGAGAAAAGTCAAGAGTTCCATTTTGGACAAGCTAATTTTGAGATTACTTACAAGCAGCTCAAAGCTAGAGGGGTAAATCTAGGAACCATAAACAGATTTGCTTAAACTGTGGGAATGGGCACTGTCACCTAGGGAGGTGGTGCAGAGAAGCTGTTGCTACCTGTTTTTCTTTGCATCTAGGCCTCTATTTTGGGAAAGTTTATAACTTTAAGATACAGCTTAGTTTTTCTTGCCTTTGACACCCAGGCTGAGTTTGTGTTACAGGCTCCTTCCTTTGTTTACCTTTGTATTGTATCCCTGTTCACACTGTGTTTATCTGCGTGCTTACCGCTCCTCCCCTTCACTGCCCTCCAGGTTTCTCAAGGACTCCATCAGTTTCCAGCATTCAGTAACTTGCCTGCACATAGCTGGCCTCTAGTTAGTGTTTTGTTAAATAAATATCTGAGGTAATATAAGTCCCAAATGCAAATTATTATAATTAGGATTTTTTATTTCCTAAATTCAGATAGTGTTTGGGAAATTGTGTGTATTAACCATCATAGAACTTTGCATAGTCTAGGTATCCATGATCTTTAAGTACAGTACAATCTTTGTAAATAAATAATATTTCCATTTGTACCTTATTTTATATTTAATTAAGCCCTTTACTGTCTATTCATTTCTTCTGATATAACCTCTTGGTGTGAATTGGGAAGGAATTATTATTACTGTTTTTTTTAGAGCTAGAGAATGAGATTCAGAGAGTACCACCTGTGGACATATTTGGGAGTTGAACCCTTAACTTCTCACTGTTATTTCAGTGTCATTTCTACAACACTACCACTTTCTCTGTGTATCATTAGATTTTTGGAAAATTAATTGCATGTGGTATATTATTTGACGATTTTTCTCCTTAGTTAAACGGATGCTTCCTTCTGTTATTGTGATGGGTTTGAAAGCTGGTTAAGAGACTTCAGGTGTCCTCTAGTCCTGGAGTCTTATTCGCTAAATGAGGCCTGGAGAAGTGGTGGCTTCTCCGTGATCACCCAGTGAACTAAACTGTGGTACGACCACAGTAGAATAGTAGACCACAGTCCAGGTCTCCTTGTTTTTAGCCTAGTGGATTTCTTCCTTTCCTGGCCACTACCCTCCCTTTTTTTATTTTTGCAGTTGACATTGCTAGCATAAATGAGGTCTTTAAGTTTTGTTATCAGTTTAAAGGATTAAATGAAGATTATTAAAATTCAAGGCATGGAGGGGCGCCTGGGTGGCTCATTCGGTAAGTGATTCTTGATTTCGTCTCAGGTCATAATCTCAAGACTTCGTTGGATCGAGCCCCACAATCCTGCTTGAGGTTCTCTTTCCCCTCCTCTCTCTGCCCCTTTCCCTGTCCACTCTCGCTCTCTCTCAAGATAAATAAGTAAACATTAAAAAAAAATTCCGGGCATGGAATCGCTAAAACTTAATTAGCAGCACATTCTCTTCCTGTTATCAAATGTGTGCATATGTGTTACTTTTTCTCTTTTCATCTCACCAGTATGGCTACATTTTAAGTCAAGTCTACATTATGCTTGAACGTTATAATGAAATGTTGCTTATACGCAGTTCTCTTAATATTTTATACCTGTTTGGCTCTACATTTCATTCCTTGGAGGTCAATCCTCCAAGGAATAAGCTAGCCAATTTCAGCTGATTCAGAGGGAGGGAAGAATTACTCACACATTTTAAGAAGTTCTGTTCTGCTTTCAGCCTGAAAGATTCAGTACCAAATATGACAGTATCTGTCATTTGAGGCTACTTGACTCTAATGCAAAAACACAGCTCTGTTTTCATAAGCTAACTACTGCCCTACAGTAACCTTCAGTTTCTGGCAGCATAGTCTGGATTCGAACCAGTGACCTTCAGATAAAGGGCACCAGATAATATGATTAGTCCCCATGCTCTCACAATACCCTTACTTAAGCAATTAAAGTCCAAAGCGAGATGCTTAGTAACTCCACTTCCGCATAGAGGCACAAATAGAGCACTTATTGTTTTTAAGCTAGTCCCAAATTTTGAGACAAAGAGCTTAAGAACCATAATTTGTATATATATATTTTTAAGTTTATTTAGTTATTCTGAGAGAGAAAGCATGCGAGTAGGGGAGGCACAGAGAGGCACAGGGAGAATCCCAAGCAGACTCCTCTCTGCTAGTGCAGAGCCCAACACAGAGCTCAATCTCACAAACCCTGAGATCATGACCTGAGCTGAAATTAAGAGTCAGACGCTTAACCAACTGAGCCACCCAGGTGCCCCATAATTTGTGTATTTTTTAATAATTGTAAATAATCTCAGCCTTCCCTGAAGCCATTTCCCATTTTGTACCTTTCTTGTAGGTTATGACCATATTGTATGTCTGCCGCTCTTGTCTTCCACTGGTGCAAAACTTGTGACATAATCTTCTCCATATGTCCAACAATACCTGGGGCAGTACTCTGTGCATCATAGGTTATTAACAAATGTTAAATGTATGAATGAAATGTATTTTTTTAACGTTTATTTATTTTTGAAAGACAGAGACAGTGGGAGTGGGGGAGGGCGGAGAGCAAGGGAGACAGAGTCTGAAACAGGCTCCAGCCTCCAAATTGTCAGCACAGAGCCCGATGCAGGGCTCAAACCCACAGACGGCGGGTTCATGACCTGAGCCGAAGCTAGACGCTCAACCGACTGAGCTACCCAGGCATCCCTGAATGAAATGTATTTTTAATTAAACACATTAGCTGCCATTACATAAGAAAGCTGCCATTACATAATAATTACACACTAAGAAAGCTTAGAAATTTCTCATTGAAAATTGAAATGGAAGAATTAGCTTTTCGGAAATGATGTTTTCACAAATTTCGTACTTGAATACAGGGCAGAATCTGGACAGTATGCTCCATGGTACTGGGATGAAATCAGACTCTGACCAGAAAAAATCAGAAAATGGAGTAACCTTAGCACCAGAGGATACTTTGCCTTTTTTAAAGTGCTATTGCTCAGGACACTGCCCAGATGATGCTATTAATAACACATGCATGTAAGTACTTTATGTAGTCCTTAAAGTTATGAGAATAGGATTGCATTTAGTGCCATTTTAAGAATTGTTTACATTGTCTTCGTTTTTTTTTTTTCTTTAATTTTATATGATATCTTTTACAAAGAGCCAAAAAACTTCTTGTTCTTTGTATGGGAACATTTAGTACTATTAAATGATTGATGTTTCTTTTCTCAGAGTTAACGTTGTAATACAGCTTTTTAAAGGAGATAGAAGGATTTGAATCTGGTATTTGTCTAATGTTTTGAGTTTATTTAATGATCTTTTTATCATAAAGTTTACTGATACTTACTGTAGAAAATTTAGAGATTACCAAAAAAAAAAACAAACTCACTCAAAATCTTGTAATTCTAAATTGGTCGAAATATTTTACAGAAAGATAGGCGTGATATTGTGATATTTAATTAATTTTATATTATTTTGATACAAGTGAGCTCCCAGTCCAATTCCGATTTATATAACCATTTTAATTTTCCTACTTTATTTTATGTTAACTATTCAACACATTTATATATGATCATGTAATTCTATTCCATATTGTTTGGGGACATTGAAGAACTGGCTTACTAGCCAAAAAAATTCCCTGAACAACTGAGTGTCATCAGTTAATTGTCGCCCTGTTATGAAAGTGATAATGTCCTGTTTTTGTACTTTACTAATAACTGTATGCTCTTTGAATATCACCAAATAGAAAGCAAAAACCTATATATGTAAAATACTGAAATTATATGATAGTTCATCATGTCTTCAATGTGAAGTTATATTTTTTGGTTTTTGGGTTTTTTTTCTTTCAGAACGAATGGGCACTGCTTTGCCATCATAGAAGAAGATGACCAAGGAGAAACCACATTAGCTTCAGGGTGTATGAAATATGAAGGATCTGACTTTCAGTGCAAGGTAAGATCTGATTTAGGGCCTGTGAAATAAAGAAGGGAGGGGCCACGTGAAAAGTATTCATTTCCCCAGGAGAAGTGTGCCTGATCTGCACATCACTCTATGTTCTTATAAACCAAGTATATTGGAGGAAGCTTAGCTCTTACTTCAGGTAATATGATTGTGGTAATTGAAGTTCCAGATTATTTTACTTTATTTTTTTTTTAGTTTTTTTTTTTAATTTTTTTTATGTTTATTTATTTTTGAGAGAGAGAGAGAGAGTGAGCATGAGTGGGGGAGGGGCAGAGAGAGAAGGAGACACAGAATCCGAAGCAGGCTCCAGGCTCTGAGCTGTCAGCACAGAGCCTGATGCGGGGCTTGAACTCACAGACTGAGAGATCATGACCTGAGCCGAAGTCGAACACTCAACTGACTAAGCCACCCAGGCGCCCCTATTTTACTTTAAAAAAACGTTTTAAATCATATCCTATTTCTAAATTGTCATGACTGCCAAAAAAAATGTTACAGTATCACCTGTGGATTATCAAATTGACTGGAAAGACTTCAAGGTGATGGGCAATAATAACCTTTGTATCACTCTGAGACAATGCAGAAACATTAAGTCCTTGTAAGGAAATCTCAGTGGAGTTGTTTTAACAGCAGCAGCAAAGGCATCCAAGGGCTGGTAATAAAGAGTTTATGAATATCCTCATGGCTCTTGGTTATAAACCTAATCTCTTCAAAATCCTGTATAGTAATTTTGCCCCAGGGATTCTTCCAGCTTTAGATAGAACCGTTTGTACACAAATTTCAGCTTCAACTATTTTAGGAAATGATTCACATTATTAAGAAACTCTCAGGATTGATATATGTTCCAATCTCTGCTAAAGGTTTGGGATCCATGTGCCCCCTCTGCACATCTCCCTTCCCCCCCACACACATATATTGCATCCCATCTACTTCTTTTATTTTAATGTTTATTTTTGAGAGAGAGAGAGAGAGAGAGAGCACACAGAGGAGGGGCAGAAAGAGGGAGACAGAGGATCCCAAGCAGACTCTGCACTGACAGCAGAGAGCCCAATGCAGGGACCAAAATCACCAACTGAGATCAGCGACCTGGGAGGCAGCCGACTGACTGAGCCACCAGGCACCAGCCACTTATTTTCTTCTTCCCCTCCCCCTCCTCCTCCCCTCCTCCTCCTAGAGAAAGAGATAGAGTGACTATCTTAAGCAGGCTCCCACACAGCCTGGGCCGGACTTGATTTCAAGACCACCAAACTCCTAGGCTTGAGCTTCATAACCAACCGTGAGATCATGACTTGAGCTGAAATCAAGAGTTGGATGCTTAACCAACTGAGCCACCCAGGCACCCCTCATCCCATCTATTTTCTAGGTGTGACACCTCTAGTGACAAGGGCTCATTACCTCCCAAGACCATCTATTTCATCTGTACTAATGACCTGACATGATCTTTACAAAGCTTTTCCTCCTAATGACTACAAATCTCTCCCTGCCCCTTTGGATCAAATCTAAAGCCTCTTTCAAAATATGACAGCCTTTTACTGTGTGAAGGAAGTTTTTTGGTCTGTTTGTGTGGTCCTGTGTTCCTCCCCATTCCTATAGTCTTTGCCTATAGGTGAAAATGATAGCTCACAGTCCCCTCCACTGCTCCATGTCTGATCAGCTTCAGAGTTACACTGATGTCTCAGCGTAATATGCAGAATTGAGTCTGGTCTGACCTGGGGTGGGAGGTTGGAACGCAGAGAATAAGTAACTCCTTTCCTTTTCCTAAATACAGCCAGATCTCATGTTGGATGTTGGATGTTGGATTGTTACACCACACTTTGAAACATACTGAGCTTCCTGTCAGCTAAAATCCCCGTCTTTCACTTATGCTACTGCTGAACCATATCTCTTAGATTCTATATTGATTCTTTGGTTTCTTGCCACAAATAAGAGGATGGAAATGGAATGAGTTTTTGAAAATAGTTGTTATATACCTGTCTATGTTAAATTTTATCATATTAGAATTAGCCCTTTGGGGATGCCTGGGTGGCTCAGTTGGTTGAGCATCTGACTTCAGCTCAGGTCATGATTTCACAGTTTGTGGGTTTGAGCCCCACGTCAGGCTCTGTGCTGACAGCTCGGAGCCTGGAGCCTGCTTCGGATTCTAGGTCTCCTTCTCTCTCTGCCCATCCCCTGCTTGTGCTCTGTCTCTCTCTGTCTCTCAAAAATAAATAAGTAAATAAATGTAAAAAAAAAAAAACAAAAAACGAATTAGTCCTTTGCTGTAATTTGGCAGGATTTGGGGGGGGGGGGTGATAATTTAATTATTTCTTGCAGTTTTATGCCATTTGCATGTTTATCAACCACATATTCTATACATTTTTTTAATCACTAAAAATATTGAAGGAAGAACTATGGTTAGAGCAGTGAGCTCAGCAGTAATAACCTGTATCTTGCATGCCCCTAAACGAGGCATATCACAAATTGACTTCACTAATATAAATTAGTTGTTAAACTTCACAGTCTGTGTTCTTTTAACATAAGAAAGAGTCTAACATTTAGCTCTTCGGTTTCCAACACTTGTCCTTTCTAAATTCTTCCTGTCACACCTGCCTTCCAGCCCTCTCAAAGTGTTCTCTTGCCAGGGTGTGATCATGAGGGCAGCCAGTCACCAAGAATACAGAAGCCCTGGAGGGTCTCTTCCGGCGTCTGGGAAAGCAGCTGCCATGTAACAGTGCTTTTTCCTTGTCCTCCATCACCTCGTGGTTTTCAGCAACACATACATTGCTTGGCGGTCTTCTAGCATTGCTAGAGAAACCCCTTCTTGGTTGTTCTTTACATTCTGTCTTCTGCAGGGCTAAGCTCATTTTGAACATTAGCCTTCCTGCAACTGTTTGTAGATGCTTCGTAGTCCTTTTATTCACCTTCAATTAATATACTCTCCATTCCCTCCTTCATGTAAATGTTCTCGATCTGGGGTTATTTCAGAGTCACTTGTGTAACTCCTAACATCTCTCTCTTTTCTTTCTCTTTATGGTCATTTAAAAGTAAAACTGTTTGGGGGCATGTGGGTGGCCCAGTCAGTTGAGCGTCTGACTTCAGCTCAAGTCATGATCTCGTGTTTGTGGGTTCAAGCCCTGCGTTGGGCTCTGTGCAGACAGCTCAGAGCCTGGAGTCTGCTTCAGATTCTGTGTCTCCTCTGTCTGCCCCTCCCTCCCCTGGTCACCCTCTGTCTCTGTCTCTCAAAAAATAAAACATTAAAAAAATAACTTTTTTTTTTAAGTAAAACTTTTTTAACATTAAAAATTTAGTTAAAATGGAAAACTTGTGCTTTTGGAAGTTTCCCAATACTCTCAACCCATCTTTCCTGGTAGGATCAAGTCGTGGACTCCTATTCATTCACCTTTTTAAAGTAATACTTGATTATACTGAGGTTTTTCTGTTTTGGCCATCTGATACTTAAGAATAACATGGTCAGTTTCTGCTTATGTTCCTGCTACTTTTATAATGACAAGCAATTCCTTTCTGTTGCTATTTTGGTCCAGAATGGCAGTTTTCCCAGGCAGTGCTGAAATGTCAGCATTCAAGTTAATAACTTGTTAAGTACTGTACCAATCACGTAAAAACTTCACACATAATTGTTGATGTCTGCTCTCTTGACTGAAGTCTTTTCCTGTGCTCATTTTCTGATCTGTCAGGGACATATCTCCCCTCTGGTCGGTGGTCTCTAAGAAACTCTCAGGAGTATGGTTTCTGCATTTTGCCTTTGTCCTCACCACATCTGCTTTAACTTGCTTCTGCATTGGGTTCCTTAGTCTCAACATAGTTGTTCTGTGCAGACTCTGCAGTATCTTCTACCTCCTCGACTATTTTTCCTCATGTCTCCTTTCTTTAGACTACAACGCCCTCCACTTAAGTCGTCTCGGTGCTGCTGTGAGATCCTGTGCACCCTACTAGTTCATCACTGCAATAAAGTGTATTACCCATGTTTTTTAGGAAAAGATCTCATGACTTATATTTTTACTACTACAAATAGGTGAATAGTAATACATTAAGATATGCCAAAGTTTTGGTGAAAAATACTTGTGAACTTTTGTTTATAATTTAGTTATAGTCCAGTGTTCCAACACATCATCCACATACATATGTTCTTAAGAAATACCATTTTACAATCCTTACAACACTATTTCAACACAAATAATTTTTTGATAATCTTAACACGTAAAACTTGCAGGTCCTTTTCACTCAACAGAGCTAGAAATTGTGTTCATGAATATTAAAAAAAAAAAAACCCTCATTCTCACCTGAAAATATCAAGCCATTTTTAATTTTGTCCTTACTCTTCCTCTAGGATTCACCAAAAGCACAGCTACGGCGGACGATAGAATGTTGTCGGACCAATTTATGTAACCAGTATTTACAACCTACACTGCCCCCTGTTGTCATAGGTAGGTTCGTCTAGAAGAGGGTGATTGTGATTTTCAGTAAAATATTTTCTGATTTTGACAGTAAGCAAGCTTTCTAGAATTTAACACTCCCAAGTTATTTTTCTCCTTTCGTATGTGATGAAGAGATCAAATGTGTGCTTTGTTGTTCACTTCCCTTGTCAGGTCCATTTTTTGATGGCAGCATTCGCTGGCTGGTTGTGCTCATTTCAATGGCTGTCTGCATAGTTGCTATGATCATCTTCTCCAGCTGCTTTTGTTACAAGTAAGATCATTATTTTTATATAAAATATATTGTTGAATATTAGATGTAAGTAGTTCTTTAAAAGGCAATGGGCATAAGTTATTGACCACTGAATGCAGTTCAAACACCATTAACTTGTATTCTCTGGGTCTGTCTTCTTTAACTAACCAGATTATATTTTTCTTAAGGAAAAAGAGGACCTTACTATTAATCAGTTAATTGAACCCAACTTTATACTTCTTGTTCATGAGTACTTAGGATTTTTCTTATTTATGGAATATTGAACTTTTTGTATCTGAATGTTTAAAATCTGTCCCAAGACAACTGTGTTATCGTTCTTTAGTTACTTGGGGCTTCAGAATTGTTTGTGGTTAGTCATGATTTCAGAAGACAGATGCCAAAAGAGAAGAGGAATAAGAGCAGGGGATAAACTTCAATAATAAAGCATTATCTTATTGGCATATGAATAGACTGAGAGATCAGTGGAACAGGTTCCTAGACCCATAAATAGACCCCAGTGTATAAGTAAATTTAGTATATGGTAAAGGTAACATTCCAGATCACTGGGGAAAACATGGATTATTTGACAAATGGATTTAGTAGTAGGTGGCTATATAGAAAAACATGAGGGGTGTATAGTTAGCTCGTTTAGTTGAGATTTGGTTGACTCTTGATTTTGGCTCAGGTCATGATCTCACAGTTGTGGGATCAAGCCCCACATCAGGCTCCATGCTGGGTGTGTAGTCTGCTTAATTTTCTTTCTCTGTCTCTCTCTCTCTCTCTCTCTCTCTCTCTCTCCCCCCCTCTCTCCCTCCACCCCCTCTTTAAAAAAAAAGAAAAAGATGAAGTTCAGTCAGTAACCTACATTGTAATAAGTTTTACCCATCTTGGATCTAAATACGTAACATTAACTGATTAAAGCACTGGAACAGACCGTAGAAGAATTTAAAAAAATAATCTCAGTGTGGAAGACCTGTGACTGACATAAAACCAAGAAGCAAAGAAAAACACCCCATACACAGAAAATAAAACCTTAAAAAAGAAAAACTTGCATCAAGTACATAAAAATAAAACTTTACTATGTGGCAGAAACCACCATAAACAGAAGACAAAGAGTGAAAAATATTGGTATCTCATATTACAAAGAGCTGATTTCTCAAATATAGAGAGCTTTTATAAATCAAAAACAAAAAACTTAGCAGTTCAATGGGAAAACATTCCCCCCAAACTGAACTCACATTTATCTAAAAGGAAATACTTACAGCTCTGAAAAGAAAAATAAAAAGATGACTCAAGAATATTCACAATATGAAAAATAGAAATTAAAATCATACTGAGATACTGTTTTCCACCTGTAATACTGGCAGAAATTCTTAGATAAAGAGACAGATTGAGCATCTCCCTTTTGCTGCCTCCAGTGAAAAAGCAATAGTTTTTACCTTCTTTGTCCAGCTAGGACAAGGAGAACGGGATACCAGATAACAGCAAAAAACAACAGCAACAACAACAACAAAAAAAAAACCTTTGGAACTTGGGAAACTTTTGGATGAGTAGTAAGTGACTTTGCGGACCTACAAAATCAGACTCCTAGGCTAGAATTTGAGAAAGTAAAGGTGCAGCCAGTTTATACTATAGAATTCCCCAAGAAGCTCGAAAATTGGCAGCACCAGTTACCTCTGGGAGTAAAGCTGAGAGTGGCAGTAAAACCAAGAGGAGTGCTTGAAAGTCTATTTTTAGAAAGTCAGATGCTGTGTTACGCAATACTGCATTAGGAAATCACTCCCAAACATAGTGGCTTAAAACAGCAATTATTATCTCTCACTGTGGGTCAGAAATTCAGGAGTGACTGACTGCACGTCAGAATCTTTGATAAGGTCCAGTCAGATGTCAGCAGGAGCTGTGCTCACCTAAAGGCTTGACTAGAGCTGGTAGATCACTTTCCAAGGTAGCTCACTTCTGATGCTCACAGGTTGACAGGGGAGCTTAGTTTCTCTGATGTGAGCCTCTTAACAGAGCTGTATGAGTATCCTTGCAGCATGAAGACTGGCTTCTTCCTCCTAGGGTGAGTGATTCAAGAGATCAAGGTGGAAGCTGCAATGCTGTTTACGATCTAGACTCCAAAGTTACACCATCATCACTTCTGCCACATTGTGTTGGTCACACAGGTCAGCCCTAAAACATTATGGAAGGGAAACAGGGACTTACATACCGGGAGGTGAGAATGTTGTGGTCCATCTTGGATGACAAGTCCCACAGATGTTGAGACCCCTACTCTTGTTCAGAACAGTCACCCCTACTATCTCCCTGACAGAAAGCTAGAAGTTTCTCTGTAAAGAACAAAGAGGGACGCCTGGGTGGCTCAGTCGGTTAAGCGTCTGACTTCAGCTCAGGTCATGATCTCAAGGTTCCTGAGTTCAAGCCCTGCATCAGGCCCTGTGCTGATAGCTCAGAGCCTGGAGCCTGCTTCGGATCCTGTGTCTCCCTCTCTCTCTGTCCGTCCCCCACACATACTCTGTCTATCTTTGTCTCTCAAAAATAAATAAAAATCTTAAAAAAAAAAAAAAAAAGAACAAAGATAAGATTCTTCGTTGTGGCATCCCATTATTGAGGGTGAGATATTGTAGTGAAAACATGGAGGTAAAGTGAACATTTATATACTTATTGGTGGGCCCCTCAACCCTCCCAGAACTCTGTTAGGCAGACTTATTCAAACAAGAAATAGGAAGAATCTTCTTGGGGAAATCCATCCAGCCCAAGAGCAAAAACCTAAATATACTCACCTCCATGGGCCCAGTGAAATGGCCCAGGCAGTTATCTCACAGTGAAGTCTGTAATCAGTAAGCTCCACTCATGTATCAGTAGTTGCCAATGAGGCAGTGAGGGCACTAATCCCTGAAAAACAGGAGACAAATGAAGTAAGCCTTATGATTGCCCACCATACTGCCTGGAGAGAGTTTCTAGCTGTAGGACATAGGAGGAACCCAGGTGTAGCCCATCAGGCTCTGGCTCAAGGAGATGTAGCTGAGTCTGGGGTATGAATAACAGAGTACTAAAGAGGAGAGAACTTCACAGGGAAAGAACTCTGGACATCTGCAGAAGGTTCTTATCAAATATTCAGCTGAATCTTTATCAGCATGTACAAGTGAGGAAACTGCCCGAGACTGGGTAAGAATGCCTGAAAAGATCGAAGGAAACAGTGTTCAGTGCTCACACAAGTCTGGGAATAGTGTCTGTTTCCATCACCTGGGAGACTTGAAAACCCCATAATCCCCAGGGCTTTGGTTAGAGTACTCAGAAGGGTCTTGCTTCAGTATTGGGGAATAATTAGCTCTAAACTAAACATGACATTGGTCCCACCTCAAAAGGAGTATACTGTTTCCAAATAGCTGCATCCTAGAGCAAAGTTCAAGGATATTTAGGGGGGGGGGGTAGTTCAGTCAGTTGACTGACTGACTCTTCTCTTGATTTTGGTTCAGGTCATGATCCCAGGGTCATTGGATCAAGGCCAATGTTGGGGTCCTTGTTGAGTGTGGAGCCTGCTTGAGATTCTATCTCAGTCTTCCTCTGTCTCTCTTCCCCGTTCATGCTGTCTCTCTCTTTCTTTAAAATAATAAATAATAAATAAGAATATTTAGAAGAATATAAAAACACCCAGCACCAACAAGGTAAAATTCACAGTATCTGCCATCTAGTCAACAATTACCAGGTATACAACTAATACAACCAGTAATGAGGAATCAAAACACCAACCGAAAACTGATCGAAGTTTTAGAATTAGTGGATAGGGGCATTAAAATAGTTATTTTAACTGTATTTTATACGTTCAAAAAGTGAAATAGAGACTTGGAAGATCTAAAAGAGACCCATATCAGACTTTAGAAAATGAAATCTATAATACCTGAGATGAAATATACACTGGATGAGATTAATGACAGATTAGATACTGTAGAAGAAAATATGAGTAGACATGAAGACACTGCAAGAGAAACTAAACAAACTAAACCATCAATACATATTTTAAAAATAGATTGATAGGACGCCTGGGCAGCTCATTCGGTTGGGTGTCTGACTCTTGGTTTTGCTTGGGTCATGATCCCAGGGTCATGGGATTAAGCCCCGCATCAGGCTGAGCTTGGCCTGCTTAAGGTTTTTTCTCTCTCTCTCCCTCTGTCCATCTTCCTCACATGTCCTCTCTCTCTCTCTCTCTCTCTAAAAAAAAAAAAAAAAAAAACCAGAAAACAAAAAACTAAAATGAAAAAAAAAATGAGCACCAGTGAACTGTGGGACTTTATGCAACCTAATGTATATACAGTTGACAGTTGAATAGTGCAGAGGTTTGGGGAACGAACCCCTGTGCAGTCAAAATCTGTGTATAACTGACTCCCCCAAAACTTAACTACTAATAGCCTACTGTTGACTGGAAGCCTTTTCAATAACATAAACACTTGATTAACACATATTTTTTAGGTTGTGTGTATTATATGTTGTATTCTTAGAGTAAGCTAAAGAAAAGAAAATGTGTCAAGAAAATCATGAGGAAAAGAAAATACATGTATATGTAGTACTGTGCTGTATTGAAAACAAAATCTACACTTAAATAGATCCATGCAGTTCAAACCCATGTTTTTTTCAGTGGTCAACTGTATATATAATTGGACTTCCCAAAAGAGGGGAGAGAGCAAATTATTTTTAAAAACAATGACCAAATTTTTTTCAAATTTAATTAGAGTAAATATGTAAACCCATAGAGCCAAAGTACAAGCAACAAAAAGAAATCTACACCAAGGCACATCATTATCAAATAGCTCAAAACCAGTGATAAAGGAAAAAAATCTTAATTGCAGCCAGAGAAAAGGCAGATTAGGTGCAAAGGAAGATGGGTAAGGATGGTAGCCAACTTTTCAGGGGAAACAGTGTGCATAGAGCAGAATCTTTAAAGTACTCAAGGGGTAAAAAGTCATAAACCTAGAATTCTATATGCAGAGAAAATACTTTCAAGTATTTGAAATACTTGAAAGTATTTCAAGTATTTGGTTTCAGCTCCGGTCATGATGTCGAGGTTCATGAGATCGAGCCCTGTGTGGGACTCTGTGCTGACAGTGCAGAGCCTGCTTGGGATTCTGTCTCTGTCTCTAAATAAATAAACAACAAAAAAATGAAGGTGAACTAAAGACACACATACAAAAGCTTGAAAGAATTCATATCCAGCAGATTTGGACCACAAAATATGTTAAAGGATGTTCTTTAAGTAGAAAAAAAATTGCATTTTAACATATATATAGAACTCTACTTCACAAGCTCCATTTCTGGATATTATTTTAACAGAGAATATATTATCCTGTAAGACTAATTTGGATGTGATCCTATCTAAAGGAAAGATGATGTCGACAACCTCAACATTTTTCTTAACCCTAGAATTTTATAGTTTTAGAATTTTAATGTAGCTTATTTTCTGCTTTTTCAAAAGACATTATTGCAAGAGCATCTCAAGCAGACGTCGTTACAATCGTGATTTGGAACAAGATGAAGCATTTATTCCGGTTGGAGAATCATTAAAAGACCTTATTGACCAGTCACAGAGTTCTGGTAGTGGATCTGGACTACCCTTATTGGTAAGATAAAATGTCATACAAACACAAATGGTTTATCGATACAGAATTTGCCCTCATATGATCATACACAGCATATTTGTTACAGAGTAGGGAACGTTACTAAACACACATTTTTTTCCCTTCTTATTTAGAAAGATAGCTACCGTAATGCAAGGAGAAATCAGTTAACAACAAGAAGTATGAAACAAGAAAAATAGAACAGGCAATTAAGATAGAGTCTCAAACAAAATTAGGGGGGAAAACGTGATCATGAGGCGCTATATAAATGCTAGAGTTAACTCTCAAGTTTTGCTTTTAACAGCCAACTTGTAGAGGAATCAGATATAAATTCTTTGCGTCTAAGGTTAAACTCATTGGCTGGGAGAAGTATAACTATTTCAAATTAATAAGTACTAGAGATCCAGATATATTTTTAATTTAATTGCATTTGTTTAAATACATTGATCTCTGATTTTTAAATTTATTGAATTCTGTAATTGAATTGGAAAGGTAAAAGTAAAACTATCTTCATATGCAGACCACATGATATCTACATAGAAAATCTCAAGGATGGTACCATAAAGTGAGTTTATCAGGGTTGCAGAATATATGGTCACTGTACAGAAATCATTGAATTTAGGTACACTGGCAACGAGTGGTTAGGAATTAATGTTTTATTTTTAAAAATGTATTTTAATGTTTATTTTTGAGAGAGAGAGCGTGCAAGCAGGGGAGGGGCAGAGAGAGAGGAAGACACAGAATCCAAAGCCAGCTCCAGGCTCCGAGCATCAGCCCAGAGCCCGACACTGGGCTCAAATTCACGAATTGTGAGATCATGACCTGAGCTGAAGTCAGGCGCTCAACCAACTGAGCTGCCCTGGCACCCCAGGAATTAAAAATTTTAAAGCAGTATCATTTAAAATAGCTTTAAAAGACATCATATATTTTAGAATAAGCTTAACAAAATGTATATAAGACCTGTGCACTGAAAATTAGAAAACATTGCCAAAAAATTAACAAAACCCTAAATAAAGGGAGATGTCTATCCTGTCTGTGAATCAGTAGATGCAATATTAAAATTTCAATGATCCTAAATTGATTTATAGTTTGCATTCAATATGAAATCAGAGCAAACTTTTTAGAAATTGATAAGCTGATTCTAACATTTATACGGAAATGCAAAGGACCTCGTAGAAGAGTCAAAGCAATTTGGAAAAAGAATAAAGATTCACTACCTGATTTCTGTACTTACTGTAAAGCTACAATAATCAGCACAGTGTGATCCTTACATATAAGTATGTATATCAGTGGAAGAGAATGGAGAGTATAGAAATGGATACAAACATCACTTGAATTGGGTGCCAGAGTAATTCAGTGGGGAGAAGACAGTCTGTTCAACAAACAGTGCAGGGAAGATTGGGCATACGTTTGCCAAAAAGTATATCTCAACCCTTATCTCCAAATACAAAATTACTTTGAAATGGTTCATAGACCTAAATGTAAAAGTTGAAGTATAAAACCCTTCAAAGAAAATGTTTTAGAAAATCATTGTGACCTTGGGTTAAGCAAGGGTTTCTTAGTGCACAAAAGGCATGAATCATTTTTTTAAATGATACATTGGACTTTTTTTTTTTTTAAGTTTATTTATTTTGAGAGAGACCGAGACAGTGCCAGCGCAGAGCCCAACGTGGGGCTTGAACTCACGAAACCGTGAGATCCTGACCTGAGCCAAAACCAAGAGTTGGATGCTTAACCTACTGAGCCACCCAGGCGCCCCGGTGAATTGGGATTTCTCAAAATTTTAAACTTTTCCTATTCAGAAGACACTTAAACAAAGGAAAAAATAAGTCACAAACTGACAATGCAGATCTGAGAGAATTTCTATTGCAGCATGTATAAAGAACATTTATAATTCAGTAATAAGGCTACCCAGTTTTTAAAAATGGACAAAATTTTGAACAGATACTTCCCAAAAGAAGATAAAAGAATGGCAAAGAAGCACATGAAACGGTGCTCAGCAGCATCAGGCAAATGCAAATTAAACATTAAAGCAAGACACTGCACATCCACTAGTGTGGCTAAGGCTGAGAACATTAAGTGCTGAAAAGAATATAGATCAGCTAGATACCTCATACATTGCTGATGGGAATGAAAATATTTCAGCCACTTTGGGAAACAGGTTGACAGTTGACTGAAAAGTTTATACTTTCTATACAGTGAAAGTTCTTCCACTAAGTATTTACCAAAGAGATATGCAGACGTGCCCACACAAAGACCTGAATGTGAATGTTCACAGCAGCTTTGTTTGTAAGACATAGGGTTGTAAACAGCCCCCAAATCCATCAGCTGGTAAATGGATAAACAAATCATAGTATATTCATACAGTGGAATACCACTCTTCCATAAAAAGAAACTAGTGATACAGGCAGCAACAATACAGATGAATTTCAAAGTGTTTTATGCGAAGTGGAAAAAGCCAGACAAAAGACTACATATTGTGTGTTTTCATTTATGTGATAGTCTAGAAAAGGCAAAACTGTAGGGAAAGAAAACAGATCAGTGATACCAGCGCCTTGGGGAGGGGGTTGACTTTAAAGAGGCAGGAGGGAACTTTCTTGGGTCCTGGGAACGTTCTATATCTTAATTGGGGTGTTGGTGGTTGCATTACTGTATACATTTGTCAAAACACAGTCCTCAAAAAGAGTAGATTTTGTTGTATGTAAATTATGCCTCAATAATCCTGACTTTCTTTAAAAACTATAAAAGGATTCTGTAATAAATGATACATAAAGTTAAGTCAGTTTAGGTATGCACAAAATCTAGTCCATTTTAACTGCATTTCCAACGTGGACCTTAGGGTTCTTATTAATTTAAAATGACCACTAGTGCTTCTGAAAATTAAAGGTAGCAATCAGTGTGCATCTTTGATTCAATGAAAATGAATGAAAATACTTGTACTTTAGGTATTGCCCTAAACAAATCCCTATATTCTGTGAGTAGAAGGGAATAGAGTTCAAACAAATACATGTATACATAATAATAAAATTATAATTGTGAGAAGTGTAGCAGCTGCGAGGTATGCGTGTGCTATGAAGGTGTTCCACAGAGGAATAACACCCTTAAGTGAATTCTGAAAGCTGAAATAAGAGAAATAAGAGGGGTGGTGGGTGGGTGATTATAGCAGATGATGAGGCTGGAGAGTCAGGTGGGAGCCAGATCACGTAGGGTCTTCCAGACTTGAGTGGAAGATTGGTAACTGTCATTTGGATTTTGCTGCATGATGAAGCACCCCGAGCTTAGTGGCTTGAGCAATAAATATTTATTATCCCTCATGATTCTGTGGGTCTGCTGGACAGTTCCTTCTCTAGAGTTGCCCGGCTGGAGCTGGATGCTCCCAGACATGGCCAGGGCTTCCCGTGGTATCGTTCATCAGTCACAGAGTTCCCCAGCTCAGCAAGAAAGGGCGAGCCCCAGAGCACAGACACTTTTCAGGTCTCCACTTGTATCACGTTGTTCTGTTGCCAAGAGCAAGTCACATGGCCATGCCCAGAGTCTGTGGAGGAGACTACCCAAGGGGGTGTGGACTAGGAGTGGAATTATTTTGACCATTTTTGCAAATGGTCTGCCACATTGACCAATCCGTTAGTGTGTGATTTCACAAAATATGTTGTGCATTGTTTCATCTACTTTTAAATATGTTATAAATTCTAACAGGGCTATTGACTGGTCGTACATCCCATCCTTTTTGTTGGGATGGGCCATCAGACCACTTTCTCAGTCTTAGTAGGTTCCTTTCATCAGGAACTCCACAAACATTTTACCTTTTTCTATGAAGGTGCAGCGAACTATTGCCAAACAGATTCAGATGGTCCGGCAAGTCGGTAAAGGCCGATATGGAGAAGTATGGATGGGTAAATGGCGTGGTGAAAAAGTGGCAGTCAAAGTATTTTTCACCACTGAAGAAGCTAGCTGGTTTCGAGAAACGGAAATCTATCAGACAGTGCTGATGCGCCATGAAAACATACTTGGTGGGTACACGTTCGGTTTCAGTCGATTCTATACTCTGACACGGTTAGTGGGGTGCAGATAGAACCCCGCTACATGGGCTTTGAAAATATACATGAATTCGCTTATGTGTGTTTGGCTGAAGGAGACCCAGGAGAATACAACAGTTTAAGTACAAAACAATCCTGAATGCCCACCAACCACTTTATTTACTGTCCAACTAAGAAAACAAGAGTGAGTTTCAAATTGGAAGTAGTGTTAGTTTATTGGACTTACTCATACAGTAACAAAACCCAAGTTTTTGAAAGGTAATTTAAGCAGTTTTCTAGTATAACTTTAACTATATGTACCTTTTTGCCTTTTGTAAATTAAACTACCCCCCACCTTCATTTACAAAGTAGAAAAATAATTTAGGTATGATCTGATCAGTAGGGTACATAGACTCCTTTTAGCTTTCCTGACTTTTCAGCTACTATTTCCCTACCCTTTAATTTCGAGAGTGCATAGCGCATTGCCACAAGTATTCCAGACACTTAACTATTAGTTTCCTAGTGCTGTCATAACAAATTACCACAAACTGGGTGGCTTAAAACAACAGAAATTTATTTCCCAGAGTTAGAAGCCAGAAGTTTAAAGCGAGGGTGTCAGCAGAGCCATGTTCTTTGAAGGCTCCGGGAGAGGCCCCTTCCTTGTCTTCCCAGCTTCTGGTGATTGCCAGCAATTTTTGGCATTTCTTGGCTTGGAGATCACACTCTTGCTGTTTGTTGTCATACGGCCTTCTCCCCTGTGTGTCTCTGTCCAAATTTCCCTCCTCTTGTAAGGATGCTGGTCATTAAGTTAGGGTGCATCCTGATGTCATATGACCGCATCTGAATTTGATTACACCTACAAAGATCGTATTCCAAATAAGGTCACATTTACAGGTACCAAGTGGACATGAGTTGAAATGGGGGGGAGGGCAATGCTGTTCAACCCAGCACTCACTGACCTTTTTCTGAAGGGAAAGAGGACAAGAAAAAAGAAGGAAAGGAGCCTAGTATCATGGACCTGCTTGTCAGTGAGCCAGATGGAAAGGCAGATGCGATGAGGCTTGATGGACAATTGGGAGTTGGTTTAATTAGGAGCAGACTCTTAGTTGAACATTTTAACTTTATTATTGTAATGTGTCCACTTTTCAATTTCAGAGCTTTTCCACATTCCTTCTTCTTGTAGTTCTTCATGCTTAGAGAATCATGTATATGGATAACATCCCCCCAGGTTATTTTCTGATATGTGATCTTTTTCTTAGTCATATAATTGTCGTTTTCATGATTATCATTAAGATTATTTTAAAAGTATTACAGAATTGTAGAGGTGTGTGTATAAATGGCAGGAAAAACTTGGTAACACATTCAAGAGATTTTGTTAGGCAAATTAAATTTTTATCTGTACATGATGCCTAGGTTATTCTCTGTATCCTGAATGAACATTCATTATTCTTCCTACACACCTCCGATAACTAACCTTTTCAACTCATCAATTGAACAGGTTTTATAGCAGCAGACATTAAAGGTACAGGCTCCTGGACTCAGCTCTATTTGATTACTGATTACCATGAAAATGGATCTCTCTATGATTTCCTGAAATGTGCCACACTAGACACCAGAGCCCTGCTCAAGTTGGCTTATTCAGCTGCCTGTGGTCTGTGCCACCTCCACACAGAAATTTATGGCACCCAAGGAAAGCCTGCAATTGCTCATCGAGACCTAAAAAGCAAAAACATCCTCATTAAGAAAAATGGAAGTTGCTGTATTGCTGACCTGGGCCTTGCTGTTAAATTCAATAGGTAAGTGGTTCTTTGCCTGCTGCTTTGAAGTCATTTTAATCTCCAAAAGATATTTGCCTGTTTGGATTCAGGATAGTGGAGTTCCAAACACGTATTTGTACTTACTTCTCTAAAGAAATAGTGGGGATTTTTTGGTCTTGGTGTTTTGTTTTTCTGTTGTTTTTTTACAAAAATTGCATCCTACCGTACATAATTCTTGATTTCCTGCTTTTTATTGTTTTAGACATCGTTCTATTTCAGTTTATGTAGCTCTGCTTCATTTTTTAAAAGTTTATTTATTTATTTTGAGAGAGGGCATGCACACACTTGTGGAGGAAGGGCAGGGGGCTGGAGAGAGAATTCAAAGCAGGCTCCACACAGTCAGCGTGGAACCAGTGTGAGACTCTAACTCATGAACTGTGAGATCATGACCTGAGCTGAAACCAAGAGGTGGATGCTTACCCAACTGAACTGTCCAGGCAGGCACCCCTGCTTCATTCTTTTTCACAGTGCTGATACAAAGTTTTCCGTTATATAGATGTAGTATAGTTTATTTCATCTATGACCTAACTGATGGGCATCAAAGTTGTCTGTATTTTATTATTTTTTAAAAAATACTTTAATAAACATTGTATTTTACCCATTTATAATATCCTCGAACACTTGTACAAGTATTTGTTTGTGGTGGATTCCTGGAGAGGAGGCTAAACAAGGAGTAGGTGCCTATCAAAGGATAGTGTGATTGCAGGCTGCCCCTTCAGGGGCCATGCATTGCTTTACACTCCCACAACAGTATACCGTTCTCCATCACCATTTGAAATTGTCAGTATTTTTTAAATAGAATTACCAAATTTTTAGGAAACCATTGAAACTATTTTCATATTGTTATAACTCTAGGAAACAGCAGGCAATTTACATTTCAGAATTCCTTTCAGGTTATAAAATAAAAGTACTCCATCTGTCCGTCTGTAATAAATTAATATTAAAATTGAAATCTTCTTCCCTAGTGGTTACAGTCTTCTGATCCTGTTGTTGTTCTTTGCCATTGTAGTGTTCACTGGCTCAACTATTCATCAGGTGCTGTTTAAGAAAACCTAAAATAGGGGCTCATGGGTGGCTCAGTCTGGTTAAGCGTCCAACTTTGGCTCAGGTCATGATCTCACGGTTTGTGAGTTTGAGCCCCGCATCGGGCTCTGTGCCAACAGCTCGGAGCCTAGAGCTTGCTTCGGATTCTGTCTCTCAAAAATAAATAAATGTAAAAAAAATAAAAAAGAAAAAAAAAAGAAAACCTAAAATACATTATATTAATCTCAGCTTCAGAGTAGTTTCCAGAACCTGCCAGAATTGGGGGCCTGAGCAACAAAGCATTCATGTCTTCCAGCTCTAAAATGTAGTCCAAGATTTGAAAAACCAATAAACATCATTTATTACTGATTGTCAATATGATTATGTAAACATTACTCACAATAGAACTAAGTGGATTGGATCCATAAAGAAGAAGAAAATGTAATCCTGTGTCACAGAGACTGAGTTTATCATGTGGGAATGGTAAAAACAAATGATTCCTCTCAGTTTAGTTTCATATTCACTTGTTCTGGGATATAATTATCTACCACTTTTTCTTATATTCAGTACTGTCGTTTTTCTTAAAGAGGCACTAAATTTGTTTGGTGACAAAACTTGACTTGATATGTAACATATTTAAGGGGTATGTTACTGTTCTAAAATCTGGAAAATGCTAACTTTTAAAGTCTATCTGGCCCCAAGGAATTCTGTTAAGGGAATGTGGAGATATTAAGTAGGTAGGTAGATAGGTAGATAGGTTTTGTTTTAATTTTATTTTTTATATATTTATGTATGGGATATGTGTGTGTGTGTGTGTGTGTGTACACATGTAGATAAACTGTTTTGTTCCTGACCCTCAACCTGAACATTGTCTCTGTTTCAGCGACACAAATGAAGTTGACGTGCCCTTGAATACCAGGGTGGGCACCAAACGCTACATGGCTCCGGAAGTGCTGGATGAAAGCTTGAATAAAAACCATTTCCAACCCTACATAATGGCCGACATCTATAGCTTTGGCCTGATCATTTGGGAAATGGCTCGTCGTTGTATCACAGGAGGTAAGACTAGTTAGTGTGGTTCCAGTTATGTTTATATCCTCATTATTGAAAAAGCAACAGCTCCATTTATATAACTTAGATGTCATATATGTTGGGGATCAAGGCCACTGCCACATTTTGTGATTTCACTACAAGGACTCACAGGACTCAGCATATAGTTGTCCTCACAGCTAAGATTTATTACAGTGAAAGAATACAGATAAAGTCAGCCAAGGGAAAAGTGCACGGAGCAAAGTTCAGAGGCAATCGGGCACAAGCCTCCAGAAGCCCTCTCCCAGTGGAGTCACACAGGATGTGCTTAATCTCTCCAGCAGTGAGTTAGGACACTTGTGAAATATTGTCATCTAGGAAACTTCATGAGAGACCTAGTACCCAAAGATATTTTTAGAGCCAGGTTACATGGGCACCCTCCACCTAGCAAGTACCAGAATTCCAAACTCCTAGAACGAGAACAGGTGTTCAGCATAAACCATATTGTTTGCACAAACCGTCTAGGCACAGTGAGCGACCTTATCACTTAGGAGAAGTTTTATATGCGTGTAGGGGACTGTTTACCTGGCAAGTTCCCAGACACTGGCCCAGCACCAGCCCTCTACGCAGGCCTTTTCAGGACAGCAGTCTCAGGCCTGCCATGTTCACTATTCCCCACAAATCATGTTGTCTTTCTGCTGTAGAACAAAAAATAAAAACTGCATTCATTAGTAAGAACAAATATGTATGTAAATAATTAGACTAAAAAGGTAAATGAGCATTTCACCTTACTTTTTTTAAGGGATATACATAGCTAAGTCCATAAGTTTCATAGGACCCTACCCAGATGGAGGTAGAGAAAATAATTAGGCAGGAAAAAGAGAAGAACATACATTTACTGTTAAAAGTGAATCAGTTACTCTAATTTTTTTCTTCTTTGTGTAGGAATCTGTTTTAACTCCCATAGTTGAGTAAGAGGTGCTGAGTAGGTTGACATTTTTTGTGCCCACTGTGTTTTCTCACTCCCTACAGGGATAGTAGAAGAGTACCAGTTGCCTTATTACAATATGGTACCCAATGATCCATCATACGAAGATATGCGTGAGGTTGTGTGTGTCAAACGTTTGCGGCCAATTGTGTCCAATCGATGGAACAGTGATGAAGTAAGCAGAGCTCCGTCCCCTGAAGTGGTTGGTAAGTGTCGTCAAAGATCTTCATGTGCTCACCACACTCTCTTTACTTTTCAGTGTCTACGAGCAGTTTTGAAGCTCATGTCAGAATGCTGGGCCCATAATCCAGCCTCCAGACTTACAGCTCTGAGAATCAAGAAGACACTTGCCAAGATGGTTGAATCCCAGGATGTAAAGATTTGATAAACGGTCCTGAGGAGAAATTCTAGACTGCAGGAACTGTTTTCACCCAAGGAATGGGTGGAATTAGAGTAGAATAAGGATGCTAACTTGGTTCTCAGACTCTTTCCTCACTACACCTTCACTGGCTGCTAATATTAAACCTTTCAGTACTCTGTAGAATACAAGCTGGGAACTTCTAAACACTTTGTTCTTTATATATGGACGGCTTTATTTTAAATGTGGTTTTTGATGCCTTTTTTTTTAATTGGGTTTTTATGAACTACATCAAGACTTCAATCCTGATTAATAAGTCTCCAGACTCTGGGTACTGAATTCCCTGTTCATAAAATGGTGCTTTCTGTGAAAGCCTTAAGAAGACAAATGAATTCAGCGGAGATGGAGAAATACACACTTTGCCTTCTACCTGAGGAAGTTTAATCTGTTTGTATCCCACCTTTGTAAACAGCCTATGGATTATGATCTGTTGGGGATACTCCTTAGTTTATGATAGTTTGTCATGCTTTGATGGTGGTGTGTACACACGTGCACGCGCGCGCATACACACACACACACACACACACACACACACACACACACACCAGGATTCTTCTGCTGCCATTCGAATTAGAAGAAAAGAATTTATGGATGCACAGGAAGATATTGATGGCTGTTGGTTTTGTGCTTTAAAAATGCATTATCTGACCAAGATTCTCCAATCACATAAAAGCCATTTATTTACCTTGCAAGTGAGCAAGCTTCTCTGCCAACTTTATTTTTTAACATGAAAGTTGATACAAAGGCCAAAAGAAGTTTAAAGTGTCTGTAAATTTGGTCTGTTTTCCTTTCATTACCATCTTTTTCTTCCTCCCTCCCTCCCTCCCTCCCCACCTGCTTACTCTCCCCTCCCCTCCTCTCCCTCCCTTCTTTCCATCTCTTTCTTTTCTTTTTTTCTTTTTGGTAATTCTTACTTTTGTCCTGAGAATCATCTTATCCAAAGTTGGAACTTCCAATGCCATGAACCTTCTAAAGAAAAACACTTCTTATTGAAGTGAACTACTAATTACTGCATTTGATAGCAATGTAAGTGCCTATACCCATGTTCTATATTCTTTATTCTCAGTAACTTTTAAAAGGGAAGTTATTTATATTTTGTGTGTAATATGCTTTATTTGCAAAACACCTCCTTTACAACCATATTTTATATATGTACATACATGTATACTGTAGAAACCAGCTCCTGTGTACCTCATATCCCATTCTTAAGGGAAAAAAATTAAGAGATCATCAGAAAAAAAAGAAGTTATAAAGTAGAACTACATATAAATTTTCAGAATTAATGCATTCAAAAGCATATATCAAATCCAGGACTTTGTTATTTCAGGCATAGACTTTCAATAAGATGCTGTCATCTCATGTTTTCTTTGTGAAGGGATCCTCCAATTAGAAGTTTCTATTTCAGGGCTGACAGAAACTTACCAACAACTATTTTGGGCATTTAAATCATTTGAGACTTTTGGTTGTATGATTTCTGTTCCATAACTTGTGATGACAATGAAGAGTCAGGCAAAAAAAGCTCAGTATCTAGTGATATGACTATAGACTATGAAATGTCTGTAGCCATTACCTGTGTCTATTCCATAGAGCTATTATTCAGTACAATGCGACATATTTTATGCATGCCTTGTTATCCCAAGGAATAATTCTGATTTACTTAAACTTACACTTCTGTAATGCCTTTTTCCTGTTAATGTCTTATCCTGAACAAAAGCTCACTGGTGCATAAAGTGAATAGTTTTTTTTTGAATGTAACATAAAATAAATGTGATTATATCACAACATAGTTAAAAACCTTTAAAGGGGAGGAATCAGAGCACGTATCCATCCATTACCAAAAATCTGACTGGCGTTTAAGGATGAAACTCTTATTTATACATGAAACTTCACAAATTTGAGATTTTCTTGAATAGTTTTGACTAAGCTTAGTAGTTTTCATCTAACATAATTAAAGTTTGAAGTGTTCATCAAAATCAGTAAATGTATATATTGATAGTATGCAATAACGTGCTCTTTCAGAATGTTCTCCCTGTGTCTGTACTGACCGATTCTAATCCATGTTGCCATGTGATTTAAGAACAATTCTGAGCTCTGATCGTAATCTAAGGTTGCTTTATTTTTTATTGGATAAACTATAGATCTTGGAAATTATTTGTCATCTTAATAACAAAGTATGTAAAGAAAGGCAAACTCTATTCTTAGTGATGTTAAAATAGTGTGTGAGAGCAGACAATTACAGATAGTATATAAGTAGACCACTATAATGATTTTTTTTTTAATAAATAGATCTATGAAAAGTGGTATCAAGAATTAACTTCAGCGGCTTGTTCAGTTAAAATATTTTCTAAGATAGCATGTTCTTTAGAAAGCAAATGATGCCATATTTGAAATACTAAAGTCCAAAAAATATGCATGAAACTTATTTTCTTCTCTCCTTCCTACTCTCACTGTTAAATTTCTAAGTTCACCCAGTAAGTGAAATATTTAAAGACTAAGAGGAAGTATTACATAGTACTATATAGTTAATAATTTGTAAAACCCCAGGAGCCATTATTTGGCCCCACTTACAATTTAGCTTGAATCTAATTTCTCTGGAAATGTCTTCACAAAAGATATTTCAGTCAACATTAGAAGTGTCCCTAAACTTAGAGAGTGGCCTATAGCTTTTGAAAATTATGTTTTACAGAATGTGCCAGATTTTTTATTTATGCAGTCTAAAAATACTCAGTACCTTTTTCTTTCATACGTTTTACTTCTATTTAGGACAAAAATGTAATACAACTTTTAAAAAATCATGTATCTCTTAAACTGGCCCAAGATCAAATTCGATATTGAATTATTTATTCCAGGCAAGATGTTATAAATTAAATCACTTATGTTTCTTTTCATACACATTGTTTGGAAATGTTCCAAATACCTAAATTAACCTCAACAGGAGAAATGCTAATTGATTTTCTAAAAAAGATTGTTGTAGCTCTTGTACTGTCGAAAGGGGTGGTATTTATTACTTGCTTGGGTCAGGTGTTAAAATAGGGTAGCAGTTCATCGTATTGCCTCAGTGCTGTTATGAGAGTTACAGTGGAAAACCGCACAGAGCTGACTTGTGCATAAACACCAAATTAAATCTCCGGCCGGCAGCACGTGAAGCCACGTGTGATGATCATCCCGTAAGGAAAGTATGTGAATACTGCTTTTGCAAAGGAGTAAATCTATTACTGTAATTGTAGCTTGTGCTCTGTACTATGCTTTCAGTGGAATTATTTAAGCTCTTTTAGTGACCATTGTCCTTGCCCATTTAAAAACTAAAATGTAGTATATATATTGTATAAATGAAAATATCATTATAGCTTAATTAGGGAAGTTGTACATAGACATCAAAAGAAGGGTTAAAAACAAGCAGTTTTATTATGCAATTGTAAAACACCAAAAATATAGATTCATCTTTGATATGTAACACACTAAATGTATTTTGTACAGCATCTGGTTTAAAAGGTGCCTTATTAAGTTTACCATTAATTGCTTTGTTCTATATATAGATTACATCCAATGTATCATTTTTAAGTAAATAACCTTATTTTAGTATACTTTAGTGATGTGTTTTGTGATACTCTGCTCGGACAGTATTGTGTGTCAAAAGTCACATGTCTGGTGAGATTTTATAGCAAGTTAGTGTATGTACACGTGTCTCTGAGATGTGCATTTCAGCTACTGGAAATCCAGTGTGGGACACACAGCAGGTAAGTGACCACACACTCTTTCCTTCATGTAGATAGAGAAGTTACAAACCTATTACAATGAAGGGTTGTTTCCCTTTAAAAAAACTTTTTTTCTAATTCTAAAACAATGCACTCATTGCAGAAACTTTGGAAAACATAGAAAAGCATAAAGAAGCAAATAAAATCACTCACAATTCTGCCATGTTACCCCTATTCACTTTTGGATGTTGCCTTTCACTCTTTTCTACTGCATACTTTCTACAAAATTAAGACCATAGTATGTCATTAATATCCATCGAAACAACTTAAAAAAAAAGTTGAATACATAATATTCCAACAAGTAGATGGAATAATTTATTTTTGTAATTCCCTGTTGAATATTTGGGTTATTTCCATTGTTTTCAAAAATATAACGAATGTATTGCACATCCGTATACCTAAATCTTTTAAATCATGAATTTGTTCTCTTAGATTACATTCCTAAAAGTGAGACTAGTGAATATGAACTTTTAAAGGAGTATTTAAGATGAAAAAAATCAAAGGTTCTTGGTTAAATGTTGCCATATTTCTGCCCGGAGGGTTTCTCGTGGACACTCATACTAGTCATGTCAAGAGAGGGTTCATCTTGCTATGTTGCTTCCAGTTTCCATCTCTCTCTGCTACCATAGTGCCTGGTTTGTTGCCATTTAACTCATTTCTTTTTTTTTTTTTTTTTTTAAGCGTTTATTCACTTTTTGAGAGACCGAAACAGAGTGTGAGCAGGGCAGGGGCAGAGAGAGAGGGAGACACAGAATCCGAAGCAGGCTCCAGGCTCTGAGCTATCAGCACAGAGCCCAATGTGGGGCTTGAACTCACAAACCATGAGATCATGACCTGAGCCTAAGTCAGACACTTAACCAACTGAGCCACCCAGGTGGCCCCAGTAACTCATTTCTTTATTGAGAGTAATGGAATCCATTTACCTGGCTTTACAGTGTTCTTGCTTGCAGCAAACGCTTTGTTAAAAGCTGGAAATGCAAGGAGGGACAATAGCTCTCCTTCTGTTCTGCAGCAGTTTCATTTACCCTCCTGCATGTATTCCCAACACCAATCAGAACTGTGGGCAGTTGTGTGTAAATTCAAGTGTACCTTATGATGCCTGAGGCACTTGAACATGTTAAATCATCATAAAAGGTTTGGGACTAGTCAATGGTCTCCTTGCCAAAAAAGATGCATGGTTGGAGACAGCCTATTCTAGATTCCTTCCTTACA